CTAGTCCTACTATTCTCATTGTTAAATACAAAAAAAGATGCTACATCAACACTATCAATTCCCCTTACAACCTTAAACACCTCAATCAGATCCCCCCTAAATCTTCTTTTTTCAAGATAAAACAATTTGAGAGTTTTCAGTCTCTCATCTTTTGACAACCCCCTCCATCCCAGGCACCATTCTAGTAACTCTTATCTGAACCCTTTCCAACAATTCAATGTCCTTCCTAAGGTAAGGAGCCTAAGACTGAACACAATATTCCAAATGTGGCCTAACAAGTGACTTGTACAATGAAAGTATAACCTTTTTAGATTTGTATTCAATATTTCTATAGATACAACCTAAAATCCTAATTGTCCTACCACTAGCAGCAGCACACTGCTTGAATGGCTTAAGAGACTGATTGACTATTACACCAAGATCCCTTTCCTTCATAACACTATTAAGGTTATTCCCATCCAAATTATACTTATAATTTAAATTATGATAACCCACGTGAATTATCTTGTATTTATCTATCTATATACTACTAAAACTCTGAGTTTGTTTGTCTGTAATTAAATACAGCAAAAATGGCACACAATAGCGCCATATTTGTAATGAAATGAGAATAGAAACAAAATAAAACAAGTTTCGTTAAATTTGTGCCATGGGTTACCGAGTTAGCGCCGTTTTTTGGGTCACTTTTATGAAAATTTCTAGCATGAGTAATTTTACATCACACTACTGTTCGCGCTCTTTACAAAACTTCTTCGTTCAAATATATTTCCCTGTCAATGTTCCCATCTTATTAAAAAGCGTAAGATGACAAAAACTAGATCTTGAAGAATTTCTCAATAATGTGCCTTGGTTATGGTAGATAATTTGAAGAAAAAATAAAGTGTTACTGTTTCTTATCTGTAGAAGATTTAAGAAGAAAGACCACAACATAATGAACTAATTCATTACAATACCTGAAAACCCTGACTTCACTTTTTTAAAAAATGAAATGTTCTTTCCTTTTACTCTCGATCAACAATCAAATATCTTTTCTTGAATTATGAATAATACAAATGGATTGAAATATTTAATTAGATTATCTCAAAATAAACATTCATTTTGGTGCAATATTGAAATTAGCTTGAATTCTTCATAACCTCTGAACAGTGGGTGACCCAACGGCTCATGGGTGGTCTAGTTATAATTAAAACCCTTGACTATCCCTTCATCCTAAGACTGAGCCTTGAGGTACCACACTTGTGACATTAATCCAGTTTGATTGAACTCCATTTGTAACAACCCTCTGCTTTCTTCCTATAGCCACTCTTCTATCCACTTTGCTAACTTATCCCCCACACCTATAGAGCTAATTTTTTTTACAAGCCTTTTATGTGGCATCTTGTCAAATTGTTTTTCTAAAAATCCAGATACACCAAATCTACACCCTTACCCTCATCTGCATAAGCAGTAACCTTTTCAAAGAATGTTAAAAGATTTGTAAGGCAAGATTTTCTCTTAGTGAAACTGTGTTGATTATACAATAAAATTCTAAACTTTGTTAAATGATTTTGCAAAGCATCTTTTAACAGAATTTCCAAAATTTTTCTCACAACTGATGTAAGACAAATGGGACAATTTTTATCACCTCCCTTGAAAAGAGGAGTTATATTAGCTAACTTCCAATCCTCTGGTACCTGCCCACTATTCAAGGACTGACAAAAAATAGTAGCAAGTGACTCACATATTCAATCTTTAACCTCTTTCAAAATCCCTGGGGAAATTTTATCTGGCCAAGGAGCCTTATCATTTTTTAAACTTCCCAATTTTTTCTTAACCAGCTCAGAATTAATGCAGTGATCTTGTTTCTATTTATCATCTGTATAAACATCATCTGCAATGTTTAAAATGGATGATCTTCTGGGGTACTTTGTGTCCAAACACAAATCAATGGAAGTTCATTTGCCCAAACCATTGCCAAATAAACTGTTTTAATCTTCAGTTTAATATTTTTAGTTTTACTCTTATCATAATTTTTTGTTTAATATTATTTGTAAAATTATAATTTAATCTTCTGCCTTAAGATTATTGCTCATTAAGTAAGATAAAAATTTAATTTCTGAATTAATCTGTGATGATTATTTTCTTGTTGCTTACAAATGTTCTATTAACTGTTTGCCATCAGCTTTTTTTAAATCAGCTGAAGTAGAAGACTTGTTCAACCAAGTGATTGTAATATAAGCATGGCTTAATTTTTACTTGTTTTATAATGTGAATCCATTGATAATTTATATTTTTTTATAATTTTCTGTAGAACTGTGAGCTGTGCCTTAGCTTTAAACAATCAATGTAATCACTTGTATTTTACAACTTAATGTACAAAGAGGGAAATAGTAGTTTAACCCTAGAATTACAGTTAGGTTCAATTTCCCTATTGGCTTTTAAATACATTTTTATTAGCCAATTATACACCAAATTGCTTGAGGGTCCATAAATTTGTTACTTACAGGGCCTTTTAATAACATATAATTCACAAATATTTAAACAGAAATTACCACTTTAAATTTTATAATTCTGTTGTTGGTTATCAAGCATAATTTGAATTTATGGTTTGTAGTTGTGGATTGATTTATCATTATGCCGATCTTACTTTCTACTACAGTTAGAAACAGCAAAGAAAATCTTGTTAAATAGCAAAATGCTACTCAGTGGAATAAAAGGAGATATTAAATTAGCTGCTGAAGACCTTGTGGAGATTTCAGAAACAATGTCTGTATCTACAGTTACTCAGTGTTTTCAGCTCTCTGATTTGGATGACAATACTCCACTTCAACTCTACCTTTCGTCTAAGCTTATGTCTTCTGCAGCTTGTGATGATTTTAGTGATGCAACGCTGATCACACTTACAGAGATATTTCACAGTTGTTTCATCGCAGAACATAATGTGAGCCTCCCTGATTCCAGGAATGACTCAGGATACATTTGTTTAAACAAGGACCAGATTACAAATTCGGACCAAGGTTAGCCTCAGCCAGAGAATTAGGATTAAGTTTGTTCATTAAACTGACTATATATATTAAAATTATAAAATACAGGATTATTGTATCATTATTTATTAAAGTTGGTCTTATGCAGAAACACCGTTATTGCACAGTGACTTGTGGGAATGCCTTTGTGTGTAGATGATCTTCAATGTCAAATTGTTTGAATGTTAGTTGAGCTTTACTTTGTACAAATCTGTGTATAATAAACCCATATTCATTTACATTATTGTTTGTTTAACGATATTTTGATAGTTTATTATCAATGTTCATTTACAGTGTTAACATTAACTTATACACAATAAATGTAAATTTCAGTGTGTTAAACTTCCTTTTTTCATATGCAGTAGGTGGAATCAGATGAAACTAAGTATATATTACTACATGTCAAAAAGTGCATTGTTTAGGTATTGACTTCAAATTGATAACATTGGTTGATTTAGTATAAGTGCATTTTATAACCATTGTCTTCAGGTTAATAACATATGTTGATTTAGCGTAAGTGCATTTTATAACCATTGTCTTCAGGTTAATAACATATGTTGATTTAGCGTAAGTGCTTTTTTTACCATTGTCTTCAGGTTAATAACATATGTTGATTTAGCGTAAGTCCTTTTTTTACCATTGTCTTCAGGTTAATAACATATGTTGATTTAGCGTAAGTGCTTTTTTTTACCATTGTCTTCAGGTTAATAACATATGTTGATTTAGCATAAGTGCTTTTTTTTTCCATTGACTTTAGGTTGATAACATTTGTTGATTTAGCGTAAGTGTTTTTTTACCATTGTCTTCAGGTTAATAACATATGTTGATTTAGCGTAAGTGCTTTTTTTTCCATTGACTTTAGGTTGATAACATTTGTTGATTTCATGTAAGTGCATTTTTAAGTATTGACTTCAGGTTGTTAAACTTTTGTTTATTTAGTGTAAGTGTATTTTTTAACTGTTTGCTTCAGAATGATAACATTTGTTGATTTAGTATAAGTACATTTTTAACTTTTGACTTCAGGTTGATAACATTTGTTGATTTAGTGTAAGTGCACTTTTTTACCACTTAGTTGAGGTGATAATATTCATTGTTTTAGTATAAGTGCATTCTCTAACTGGTTACTTCAGGTTGGTAATATTTGTTGATTTAATATATGTGTATTTTTAACTGTTCACTTCAAGTTGATAACATTTGTTGAATTAGTGTTAGCATATTCTTTAATCATTGACTTCAGGCTGATAACATTTGTTGGTTTAGTGTGAATGTGTTTTTTAACCTTTGATGTCTGGTTGTTAAAATTTGTTGATTTATTTTAAGTGCATTTTTTTACTATTGGCTTCAGGCTGATAACATTTGTTAATTTAGTACAAGTGCATTTTTTAACCATTGATTTCAAGTTGATTACATTTATTGATTTATCATAAATTCATTTTTTACTATTGACTCAGGTTATTAACATTTGTTGATTTATTCTAAGTGTCTTTTTTTATCAATAACTTGAGATAATAGCTTTCCTCGATTTATGCTGCCCTCTATATGTACAATTTTTGTTCACCACTAGTCTTGAGGCTCCCACTTAACATCATGTATTTACCGATGGGATAGCTGCATTGTAGCATGCAAATGAGCATGCAACAACCTTCCACCAATAGGAGTGTGACACACCTTCCTAGCACTTCTGGCTCGCACTGTACTGTAGATCACAATCATAACTTCTCGATTTGGCATTCTCTTGTGCCAATGTGCAATTAATTTTCACTAAACACAACTCTATGTTTTTGTTATTTTTATCTTGTGGAAAGTTTTCATTTATTTATTTTTTCCATATTATGAATTCAGAATTTAATGTTACTACTACTACTACTTGTTTGGATCCACAGGATTCTGATTCTGCCAGACATACCACTACTGTGGCACCAGGCTCCACTCTTAGTGCACTCTTAGTCTTATCTGCAACCTGTTGCATCTCCTGAACCAAGAAATGATTTTACTTTCCTGGAAGAATCTGTTCCAGAAGACACTATTTTCCACAGCCTTCTTCCTGCTTTTGCTGCCCCTTCCCAGTCTGCTTCTCTGGATTTTCCTTGTTCTTCTTTGATATAATATCTCAGGTTTGTTACCTTTTGTTTCTTTATCCTGCTTCCTATGATTATTTCTTTCTCCATTCTGGCCCAGAGCCCAATTATTTAGTTCCCATCCCTCCTCCCTTGATATTTGCATCCATGCCAACCAATTCCTTTGTCACCTTCTTGCTGATGCCAGCATGTTTTGTCCCCCACATTTGGCAGACATGCATGCCTTACCTTACAATAGGTCTGGATTTCATTTTCTTAATTCTCAGAGTCTGGAGTCACTTATTCAGGTTTGGGGCTTTGATCCATCCTGTTCCCCTCGATTTCCCCTATCCAATTCTCATGTTTTACCTCACTCTTACTATTCTCCTACATTATCTTTTGTCTGTTCATCTGCTTTCTGAGGTTATCTACTGCTACTCTGAGGAGTTTTCAATGGATATACATTCCCTTCTTTCCTCCATGTTGGCACATTTGTTTTCTTTGACTTTATGACCTTCATATGTGGTTGTTTTGTTGTTGGGACCTCTTATGCACAGATGCATTTCTTACATGCTTCAGATCTATGCAGTCAGTGGCTATCCCTTAGTTTCAGGAATGGTGGGGGCAAGATTGTTCTGATTTGCTTACCTGTGGCACCCTTTCACAGCAGATTGTTAGATTCTTTGGACATTGGCGAATGGACTGAATCTTCGTTTTGCCTTTCCTCCTCCTCCTCAGTATCCAGCTTCTCCTCTTCCAAACTTACTGTTCCCCACATTTCCAACTTTTTCACATGACTTTTTGACAATGGTTTGTTAATTTTTACCATTGTGAGGTATAAGGTAGCACTGTCCAATTATTTTCATTTTTACTGTTTTCATCATGTTTTCTTCTCTCTTGTCCTCTCTCTCTTCTGTTTAGATCCTTTCACCTTCTTCATCCTTCACGGCTTGTTGTTCTCCCAGATATGAATCTAAATGTTGTCTTTCATGCCCTTACCCTACCTCCTTTTGAATCTTTAGCTTCTTGTTCAATGTACCATCTTTCCCTTAAGACCTATTTTTTACTCCCTTTTGCATGTGAACATTAAAGGTCGGACATGTATGCTATTAATGTTTCCTAAATTCTTTATCATCATTCCTATGTTCTCCTTTATCCCGACTGTGATTTTTCCCTAAGATGTCTGTGGCATGGGAGGGAAACAGCATGTTCACCCCTATTTCCCTTTCATCCATTGCTCATTTCTATTCTAGGTTCTATCCCAATTGTCTTCTTTGTCTTGTGCTGGCTCTTCATTGTAATGTGGCCTGTGCAGTTCCTTTTGGAGATTTCTATTCCCGGCTCTTTATCCTATGGAACTCTTTTTCTACCCAGGATCTTTCTCCTGTTATTCTTACTGGTTAACTTCATCAACTCATTTGTCAGGCTTATACTTTGTTGAACAGGGATTCTCATCACATATTCCAAGTTCTCTCTCACCAAATTCATCATCTTTATCACTATCTGGCTACTCACTGCCAACATCTGTTGGAGGAGATTGTGCAGGCTGGTTGGTGGACTATGCCTCACACTTTTGTTGCACATTACCTTCAACATCTGTCCATTTCTTCTTCTTCTGGATATTGTTTGCCTCCCATTGCCATTCTTCTTACCTCTTACTGACTCTGAATGGGTAAGTTATTTTCTATATCTTACCTATACAGTGGCCTATTTCTACATCTCTGGATCCTGCTGAGTAGTGCCTGCAAGGGTATACTTAACTTTAAATTTGCACCATGTGACCTTTAAGGTCTGTAATGCTCACTGATGAGATGTGGTGTTTTGCAGGACCACTTAAGGGTTTCTTGTAGTATATTCCTTCATAAATAAGGTATGTTCTAGACTACCATCTCATGGACTATCATGATTAAAGCAGTATTGGGACTGCTGCCCATTCCTCTGTTCCGAGTTGAATAAACTGGGACTGGCCTGCTTTTCAAACTAGGGTTTCTGTGATTACCCATTGCATTGTTTTAAGGTATTGTATTCCTCCAGGTTCTCCACCATGTTGTTCCCTTCCTCTTCCAGTGAAGTACAGGAGTCCTTGCCACTTACTAGTTCCTAGCCACTTGGGTATTGGACCATGGAGGCTTTCTCCTGAGTGTGACACTTCCACTCAGTAGAGTGTAGGGTGGTGGTGTTCTGTTGGTGTAGTTATTGTGAACTCTCCTCCTACTGTAATCTGAACAAAAATTTCCCAATGCTGCCTGATTTTGGACTGGATGAATCCACCACAGGCAGTTCCCTCATTCGGCTGGCTTTGCCCCATACTACTGCTACCTAGATGTCAGTTCCCTAATGGTATGGTGTTGGAATGGTGCAGGACCAGCCAACATAAGTCCTCACATGTGGTTGGCAGGTGCCCTTCTCCTACATGGATCCAATGAAACATCCTCCATGGAGCCTGGTTTTTGACTGAAGTTGACCCATCACATTTGCTCTTCCCTTACCTACTGTTGCCTGGACGTTGGGTTCCTGGGAGGCCTGTTGTTGGTTGTGTACTGGGTCTGTACACGTGCCCTACCTAGGTTGATGAAATGGAAATTGCTTTTTCTTTCTGCTTCCTGGTATCGAAATAAAGACAGTTGAGACCCTCCTCCTATCATGGACACATATCTGATGCTGCCTGGTTTTTGACTGGATTTGACTCCCCACGTATGGTCTGACACACCCTAGTCACTCTAAACCATCAAATGTGCCCATTTGCCCTATTGGACTTGCTTTCTTTCCACCTTACTTGGTGACATGTATATTCACTGCGAATGAAGAGTGTACTTTGATACAGATGAGGTGTGATCTCTTACTGTTGTGCCTCCTTTTTTTTCATGATTTAGAGTATCATGCTCCATGGGTTCTCTTTGGGCACATTCTGAAGGGAGCTCAATTAGATAACTTTTG